CAGGTTAAAAAAATGCTACCAGTGCTGGTACACGTAGCTTAAGTATCTGGTTATAATAATCACGAGTTCATTAGATCATTCTAAGGTTGTTGTAGAAACAGTTGAAAGTACGAATCATTAAAACTAACGTACGATTATAAAAAAAATCTCTCTGTGGTGATTATTAAACAGATCATTAGCAATGCTGCATAATGTGTCCCAAATCTCTATAAGCACCTCTCCATCCCATGATCTTGAATCGCAAATATTGATTGGAAGAACGTGATTTGCGATGCAAGCAACACAGATGATGTGATTACGCCCAATAGTCTAAGAAACAGTTCCAAATTTCTATGGTATGAATATAAAATCAAAATGTTGATCACGGCGATTCTGGAGGTCATGTGGAAGGCGATGAAGGAACGTTGGGAGAACCACACAGATCGAGTACGTTGAGAATCCAATAGATTTAGACCTTTGAGTCGGGTAGATTAGATAACTGGTTTAGAAATACAACTGTTAAGAGTAGTCTGAAGTTACAATAGTTGCAAATCGAAAGGAAGAGTAGAAATACGAGTCACGAAATATCCGGTTTCAGATCTTGGAGTTCTTTTAATTCCCACGGAGTTGCATCGCCAGCTATGCATACCGCTCCTTGCCACTCTCATGAACTCATGAATGACTTTGGCGAAAACGTCAGTTAGCGATACATTTTCTTAATGGGCGACTTTCAAGGCGATAAGGAATTATGTATGCTTTCCTATTTTGGTCATTTGTATATCATAAGAATTCAGAGTCGTGCTGCAACAGGCTGCGGCTAGTCGAATAAACTGTTTCCACATCCTCCTTCTGTAATATTTTATACTGTTTGCCTCATTGGCTTGTTTTCTCTACTTTTCTTATTCTTCTTCCTCTTTTTTACCATCTTCTTCTTCTATCTCATAGACTTGTTTTATGGAAGTTATAGCGCGGTTTCTACTGTTCTTGTTGACTTTGGGAATTTTTTGAGCCATTGGCCTCACCTAATTTTAGAAGAGACATGTTCCGGAGTTCTATAGTTCTTTGTAGCCTAAATCTCAAATTGACGAATTCGGTGCTGAAGAAGTAGTCTCAAAGGCGAGAAATCAGTGCTTTCCCGGTGATTCAGACAGTCTGAAGGGCTTGTTTCTATTCAGACTGCATAGACTACAAGCATCTCACTCCAAAAAAGAGTAATATTTTTATATAATGATCTTCAGTGCTCCTTAGAAAGGTTCGCAGCCGAGTGTGACGTGACCGGCATGCGTGTGAACGCATCTAAAACGA